TTATTTTTTTTTTTAAAACTCGTAGGAGAGCGGGGGAAGAAAAAAAAAAGGAAAGGGAAGGGAAACCTTTAAGTTTCGACGCCTAAGTGTCGAATTATGATACAATTTTCGACACTTAAGTGTCGCCCTTACCCATATTTTCGACACTAAGGTGTCGAAAATTGTATCATCATTCGACACTTAGGCGTCAAAAGTGACCTCTATTTTCGACACTTAAGTGTCGAAAATATGGGTAATTTTCGACACTTAAGTGTCGATTTGGTTCCTGTTGCAAATTTACTTGTCTTATATTTTCGACACTTTTGTGTAGATCGATTGCACCCATTCATTTACCACGTCAGAAAAATTCCCAACAAAAGAAGCTTTATTGGCATGGGTTCGTGAAGTATGTAAAAGAATTGGAATGGTGTTAATGATTGGGGGTTCGAGTGACGGGGATAGAGGACGTAGGACACCGTATGTGATTGTTCGTTGTGAGCGTGGGGGCCATTATGTTGGCAAGAAGGTACCAGGTGAAGATGATCAAAGACCGGGAAAAAGGAGCACCGGTTCAAAGAAATGCAATTGTCCGTTTAAATTGAAGGGGACAAGAGAACACAAGGATGATAAAAAGGCTGAGTGGAAATTGGATGTTCATAGTGGTATTCACAACCACAACTTATTCGAAAACTTGCACGGACACTCTTATGCTGGAAGATTATCAAAGGAGGATGTTTCCTTTGTTCACACTATGAAGAAAGCAATGGTGAAACCAAGGGCAATTCTAAGAGCATTGAAGCAAAAGGACCCGTCTAATGTAACTGGTATGAAGACAGTTTACAATACTATCTCTAAGTTAAATTTCAGTGAATTGGATGGGAGATCTCAATTGCAATCATTGTTCGTCAAGTTGAAAGAAGATGAATACCTCTCGTACCATAGATCGAACGAGTTGAATGCGATTACCGACTTGTTTTGGATCCATCCGAAATGCATTAAGTTGGCACAGTCGTATCCGTACGTATTCGTCATCGATTGCACGTACAAGACCAATCGTTACGGACTCCCATTTATTGAGATTGTGGGTTTTACTTGTACCAACAAGACGTTCTCAATTGCCTTTGCATACTTGGACCACGAAAAGACGGAAAATTTTGAATGGGCGTTGCGTTGTTTGAAGGAGGCCATGACCAGTTGTCCTCGGCCTAATTGCATTGTAACAGATCGAGATTTGGGTTTAATGAAAGCAGTGGCCAATGTGTATCCATCGAGTCATCACTTGCTGTGTCGGTGGCATGTGAACAAGAATATAGTGGCCAATTGTAAGAAATTGTTCCCAAATGACATCACCAAATGGAAGCAATTTCAGTCGAGTTTTTCGGCTCTTATTGAAAGAAATACCATAGAGGAGTTCAATGAGGATTGGGAGGATTTGAAAAGAACATTTATCGGTTATCTCCCGGCTATAGAATATGTAGCTAATTCATGGTTGGATCCGTACAAGGAGAGACTTGTATCGGTGTGGACAAATAAGTATACTCATTTTGGAACGTACACTTCTAATAGGGTGGAGGGGGCACACGGACGAATGAAAAGGGATGTGCATAATTCAACTGGCACATTTGTGGATTTGTATACGAAAGTCCACAATCAAATTGTCGAACAACACAATGACATCAAGGCTTCCTTTGAAGTAAGTAAAAATACTTACGAGCACACTTTCAAAACGTTGATATACAATGAGCTTCATGGAAGTATCTCAAAATACGCTCTGCAACTACTCAAAGTTGAGGTGGACAATGCGAAACTATTGCAACCGAGCGATATGGGTTGTAGTTGCGCCATCCGAACAACCCACAGTCTACCATGTCGCCATGAACTTCATGAGTATGTTGTTGTGAACAAATGTCCTATCCCACTTGAGTTAATAGGCTCGTATTGGAAACACATGAGTATGGAGCCCGTCGCGACCACAGACCAAGTCATCCTACCAACCATCGACGAAGAATTATCGGAATACCAGAAGCTCTTTGAATGTGCCGATCTCGATGCAAAAACTCGATTGCGCAACCATTTGAGACATTTTACCCACCCAGAGAAGACTAACCTTACGGAGCCAAGTGAAAAAGTTGTTAGCAAAGGTCGACCGGCAAAAAATAGGAAAGACAAATCAAGCACTCGGGACAAATCACATTTTGAGTATGTGGAGCCAAAGAAAAAAAAATCGAAGCAAGCTAGTTGTTCTCCAAAGGTAAATGTCGCTACTATCGTCTCATTTCATTGAAGTTGTATTTTATAATTGTGCTGAGTAATGAAGTGTAATATACTGCAGCTTATACCTGTACTGATGAGATTACGAGGGCACTCGAAT